TTTTAAATAAGTCGTATCTTGCTCAGACCAATAAATAAAACTAAACTTATAGTTAAAGCTATTAGTAGAAAACCGAAATAACTAGTTTAGTAAACATGAAGGGGGCTAACTGAAATGTGGTATTTCTATGCATAGATTTCTAAAGCATTTACCTGAGTTTCCCTTTTTTGACATAGGAGGATATACAAAAATATAAATTGAACAACTAATTTCAATTGAAATTTTGTGATTTATCTATCATTCTAGATGGCACGAACAAAGATAAAGTGACAGGCATATAAAACGAAACTGATTAATCATTTCTATGATCTAGCCATCTAGTAATTCCTATCAACCGAGTCATTGAACATAAACCAATAATACGAACTGCATTGTGTAACATCATTAAAAATTGAAACTCTTTTTGAGTTATTATGGAATACTATTTTCCATTTTTTATTTTCATATTTTAAAAAAGTCGTATTCTTGCAATTAAACACTTCGAGTGCCTTTCTTCGTAGTCAAATCTGATGATACGCTTTGGCAATCAAGATTTGGATTGAGATCCAACTCATTAGAAGTATTGATTCCAATTTTTTTTCTTCTTTCTTCGCTTTCTTTCATCGAATAGGATTTACGAATATTTGTTACTGGAAGATTCACCAACTCCTTAAATTGTAGAAAGATGATGATCTCTTTCATTGTATGAATTTTTTATTAAATACAACATCATTTTACATGAACAGGTAAAGGAAAGGAAGAAATACACTAATTTAGCACTTCTTTTCGATACTGATTCAAATTGCGTTGCTGTGTCGAAAGAAGGATAGTTATGCTGATTCGTTATATTCGAAAGATGCCCTCGGTACAACATTGACGATCCTACAAAGATCCAATTTCAGTGATTGCCTTTTACTGATCACATCTTTTACGGAATCGATCCCCCTTTGACTGTACAAAAATACGTGGAGCTGAGCATGTCTGGAAGCACAGGATAACATTCTTTTGCTGATATTATTACCAGTATTCGATATTGGGTCATTCATAGCATTACGATACCTTCCCTATTTATTGCGGGTTGGTTATTCGTCAGTACGGGTTTAGCTTACGATGTACATGGAAGCCCTCGGCCAAACGAATATTTCACAGAGAGCCGACAAGGAATTCCATTAATAATTGGACGTTTTGATTCTTTGGAACAACTCGATGAATTTAGTAGATCATTTTAGGAGGTCCTAAGACTATGACTATAGATCGAACCTATCCAATTTTTACAGTACAATGGTTGGTTGTGTACGGATTACCTGTACCAACCGTCTTTTTTTTTGGGGGGGGTCAATATCAGCAATGCAATTCATCCAACGATAAACCTAATTCTGAATTTATAGAGCTATGACACAATCAACCCGAACGAACAAAATTTTGAATTGAATCGTACCAATCTTTAATGGGGGTTATTATTTATTTTTGTACTTGTTGTTTTATTTTCTAATTATTTCTTCAATTAGGAAAACGAAAGAAAAAATCAAAACTCTAGGCATTCTCTTAGCCCATTCGGAAGGATCTCATCTCATAATTATCCATGACTGTTTATGTCTCTAGCATGACCACTTAATGAAATTGGGGGGAAGTGGACGAAATGGCCGATACTACTGGAAGGATTCCTCTTTGGATAATGGGTACTGTAACTGGTATTCTTGTGATCAGTTTAATAGGTATTTTCTTTTATGGTTCATATTCCGGATTAAGTTCATCCCTGTAGTAATCGGATGGATTGAGTTGTAGACATGAAAGCATAGGAACTCAATGGGATTCCCTTCTTTCTTTGTCTGATTCGAGGGGAAAGGGCCCGTTGGGTTCTTAAAAATCAGTCTTTTTTTTTTTGTCTAAATGACAAAATGGGTTTCGTTTTTTGTTGTTTCACATAACTCCATTCCATTTTTTCTAATGATGCTTTTGAAAAATGAACTTCATTGATTGATTCAGAACATCTCTTCCTTGATCTTGAGAGTATGTATGGGTTTTTTCCAAGTTTGAATAAGGAGTGAATCACTCAATTGCACAGATTCGATATATTTCTCTAGATTCGATATCGTATAAATATTTTCTATACTCTTACCATATTTCTTTTTCATTTATTTAGTATATCAGAAAAGTAGAGATTTTTTCGAAGTTCATGGAATAAGTTCTATTTTTTGTTTGTACACCACTTGACGTTCTTGTTGTCACTGTCCGAAATAAATTGAAAAAAGGTTCTGATACATCTAGAAAACCAAAAGCTAGACTAGGAACCCAAAATCATTGCTCTTTAATTTCGACAAAAGAAAAGGGGGTTTATAAAATCCCGTTTCTTCTGTCAAAGACAAAAAAATATCTCTTTGAAGTATTTGTTCCCCACATTTGTAGTTCGTTCTATTACCCGCTTACTTATGTTGATATCTATCCCAATTTAATTGGATTTCCAATGTCCTAAAATTGATCCATTTTAGGACATTGAAATCCTAACAAACACAAAGTCATAAAGTCAAATTAAATAGTCTTCTTGAAAGAAAAATCTACCTTTTCAAATATGACTAGGAATGCGGATTCTCCCAAGCTCGTAAAAAAATAGCAAGTAAATAAAATTTTTTCGTAATTTATTTTTATAGATAATTGACAACAAGAATTTTGTTCTTTTTACGATCCTAATATCGATAAACCCACGAGTCTAATAATTCATTTCAGCCAATTGAACTTTTTCGAACTGTTTCTTTTTAAGAACCAAAAAGATTTGTGCCAAAATAACAAATGCCAAGAAAAAAAAAGACCTATGACACGTAATCGATCTTGAAGTACTATTTCTGCATCTCCCTAACCAAATCCACCCACATTGGGATTACTCGTTAATGGTTGATCCAATTTGATGGATTCACCCTCTGAAACAAGAAGTTCGGGCCCTGGAGGAATAATATCAACAACTTGACGTCCATCCGATGGATCCAATTTGGTGGATTCACCCTCTAACAAAATCGATTATTGGTTAGTAAAGAACACAAACGAAAAGATAAAAAAATATCGGTTGACAAAAAGGAAATAATATACAAGATATGCTCTATCTGCATCTTATCACTTTGAAGAAGAACTAAAGAAAAGTTTTGTTTTATAGTTGTTCCATATACCCCGGCTTTGGCTGGAGTGAATATTCTGACGAAACTTCATTTAGAAAACAAGAGGTCTTCCTTCCTGCAGAGAAAACATTTGTTCCTCAGTTTTAAAAAACTTCAATAGGTACATGCAAGAAATAGGCTAATTGCGCGGTTTTTTGTTTAATTCCTAGTGGGGTCAAATTCTCATCAGTACGGGTCAATGAAATAGCCCCCCAGCCTCTGATGTCCATATAATGGACACGGCAAGCACAAATATCCTATTTAACTTCTATTCGAACGGATTGAATATCCTTTATAAGGACTCGGAGGAATATACGACGATTTTTTCCAGGAAATCTCCAACAAAAATTACACTATTCCCTCATTTCTATCGAATCGATCATACCACTACCTACATTCCAAGAAATTGTGCACCACAAATAGGAAATAATAAATAGACCCGCGACCCCGTAGAAAGACATCACAATTCCATGTGGAAAAAAAAAAGTTGCTGAGATGGGACACAAGAGGACCTCAATATACATATGGATCCACCAACTCCAGCGATGCTGATCTATTTGACAGTAGCTATGATTCATTTATCCAGAGATCATTTTTTGCGGGCATAAGAGCTTTTTCCTTTATATTCGGCGGAAATCACATGTTATACTATATTTCCATTTTCCCGAAATAAATATTTGTGTTATGCTACAGTTTAAAAAAAAAAAAACAGTTGAGGTTGTATCCTAAACAATTTTGTTTTTTTGAACATGAAGAAATAAAGAAACCATTGCAATTGCCGGAAATATTAAGCCTGCTAAAGGCACAAAAATAGAAGGAAGATTGAAAGTTTTCATAAAATGGTACCTCGATATACTATATTGTACCTTTTATTATTATTAACTTTTTTTTTATTTTCTATTTATACTAATTATAATTCAGAATTGCGATTATTAGGAATTTGTTATTATTAATTAATTCAATTTGAAAATTCTTATACAAAATATAAAATATAAGTATCTATATATATCTAAGTTAGTATATAGAAGAAATCTAAGGAATGTAGAAAATGTAGAACTAAATAAATGGACTCATTCATCTTTCTACATGAAAGATACGTATGATAATATTTATTATTTTATTTTATATCGTTATGTTTGTTATTGTCTTCAAATTTACTAAAGAAAGACTTTTTTACAAATTATCGAAAGATCGTTAGAATGCGACACAACCGAAATTTTTAGTGAAAATTGGATTTTCGGTAGATGGAGAAAAATAGAAAATATTATATCTAACTTTTCTATATTTAATTTGAATTTGATTATATACGTAAGACGAAATTCGTTTTGTTTGTCTAATTTCACGAACGGAAGAACTCTCGCTTTTATCTTGTTGATAGAGACTTCTTAATGGGAATCCCGGTAAAAGGAGTTATCCACAACTTTTGATTTTTCTACAATTCGATCTTAAGTCATCAAACAAAACTCCATTCTTATTTACTTTAATTCCAATAAGTTAACTACTTGTTTGCTACAAATAAAATAATTAAACTTAGTCCGCACTACTTGATACAATTTCAATTCAAAGGAAAGAAGGCATGTAGTTTAAATAACTCACTTAGGATGCTTTTTAAAAGATTACGTTGTACGATTAGGTTGAATAAGCCCTTCTGGAATATATATTCAAAGACTTGTGAACCCTCGGCGACTGTCTTATACAATGTTTGTTCATTTACTCTTTTACCCGCAAATGCAATGTAGGATTTGGGTTCGGAAATAATGATATCTCCCAATATCCTAAAACTAGCTGTTACCCCACCAGTAGTAGGAGATGTAAGGATTGAGACATAAAATAATTTTGTATTTGATTAATAATCATATAAGGGCAGACAATATTTTAGCCATTTTCATCAAGCTCAAACTTCCTTCTTACATGCATGCCCCCCCCCCCCCCCGAAGCGCACACTATAATAAGAGATAGAAACCGATTGGTAGCATACTCAATCAAACGAGTGATTTTCTCCCCGACTATGGATCCCAAACTACCCCCCATAAACTGAAAATCCATAACCCCAAGTGCTATGGGAACACCATTTAGTTGCCCTATGCCTGTTTGAACAGCCTCAGTTAATCCTGTCTTTCCTTGATAAGAATCAATACGATCTTTATAAGGCTCCTCCTCCGAATGAAATCCAATCGGATCCAAAGAGACTATGGCTTCATCCATAGGATCCCAAGTACCGGGTTCGATCGAAACTTCGATTCTTTCTGAACTACTCATTTTCAAATGATATCTACATTGTTCACAAATATTCATTTTTTATTTAAAAAATCTCTTATAATTTAATCCATAACAATTTTCGCATTGAACCCACAAATGCTTGTAGTTTTGAATTGCATCGAGATTATTAGACCTTTCTCCTAAAGTTAAATCACTGCTCTTCTCGTGAGTTCGTATACTAAATCCCCCATTTCACTATTAGTTCTATGTTTATCAAAAACGCGACTAGAAATGTACCTGTCACTACTATCACTTACAATGGACATATCAATACAAATTTGATATTGAAGATAATCGGCAATGCAACTAGTAATGTGATTATTCCAACTAGATTGAGTATTATACATCGAACGATTGTATAAGAAATCTTCCCTTGTAGATCCATTATCCCTATAACTAGAATTTCGATAACTCGAAAAAGAACTTTCGAGTTCACTCAGAAAAGAATAATCGTTGTCAATCTAAAAAATCTGATTTTCATTATCAAAATGGATCGAATAATTGTCTCCAGTACTATCCCTAACTAAAAAAGTATCATCAGAGATGAAATTCCGAATTTCTTTGACCAAAAATAAATGATCGACATCACTGTAACTAGAGTTGCCACCATCCCTCAAACTATGAATGTTTTTAGCCCTACATTTTTTATTCGAATCTTCACTTTCACTAGTATTTTCAATAGGACCAAGATTGTCTGTTGATTTCTTTATCTCGTACCTGTGTTCGAACTACTTCTTAAACACCGTCGAATTAAACCACCATATTTCCATAGAGTTTTCTTGTCCCCTATTTTATTTGCATAAAAATACATTAGATGAATAGTCATTTGATCCGCAATTCTTTATTTGTCTTTGAATTCCCATCAGAATAAACATAGAAATTACATCATTGCTAAATACTAAAATAGTAATAAGAAGCGATTATCTTTTATTTTGTGGGAATCCGGAGGTAAGATTTTACTATAACTATATATGAATATGATAGAATCCCTTTTCATTCGAAATTAAATTAGTTAATAAAAGTGTTTTTTCCTATGTCTTCGCCTTCGCGTTGAACAAAAAGGGAATATTTTTTCTACCTAGATAGAATTTTTTTGTAAAATCTCGTCTAATAACTAACTAGTAAGAAGTAATAAATTAAGGGTCTATTTCAACACTGAACGAAAAAGACAATATACAGGATAGGTCAAAATATTTATGATACTTCGCTTGATTCAACCAAACCACAGGATCTATAAAGAATATACCAATCCTGAGGATCCATAGGTTTAATTTTGGATCCAAGACGACAATAGAACCATTTGAGTCTTCAATTTTCTATTTGAAATCTTCTCTATCTCGAGATATATGTATTTATCCAAAATACATGCAATAGAATCGTTATATTCAGCCCAATCTTTTACTAAAATGATTAAGCTGAGTTTAATTGCAATTCAATTAAGAGAATAAAGAGTAATTATTTTGTCGGATCCAAAAATTCCATTGCTTCAAACTCAAATTTAATCTCTTTCCATATCTCACAAGCGGCAGCTGGTTTAGGACTCCATTTGCTAGCCTCACAGATAATTACATTATCCTCAGCAGCAAGATCACGTCCTTCATTACAAGCTTGTACACATGCTTCTAGAACTACTCGGTTAGCTACGGCACCTGGCACATTCCCCCAAGTGTGTCCTAAAGTTCCTTCACCAAACTGTAGTACGGAATTATCCCCAAAGATTTCGGTCAGAGCAGGCATATGCCAAACGTGAATACCCCCTGAAGCCACGGGAATAACACCAGGTAAAGAGACCCAATCTTGAGTGAAATAAATACCGTGAATTCGGTCTTTTTCAACAAAATCATCACGCAGTAAATCAACAAAGCCCAAAGTAATGTATTTTTCTCCTTCAAGTTTACCTACTACGGTACCAGCGTGAATATGATCTCCACCAGACAGACGTAATGCTTTAGCTAGTACGCGGAAGTGCATACCATGATTCTTCTATCTATCAATAACTATGTGCATTGCACGGTGAATGTGAAGAAGTAGGCCATAATCTCGGCAATAATGAGCCAAGCTAGTATTTGCACTTAATCCTCCTGTTAAGTAGTCATGCATTATGATAGGAACTCCCAATTCCCTAGCAAATACATCTCTTTTGATCATTTCTTCGCATGTACCTGCAGTAGCATTCAAGTAATGCCCTTTGATTTCACCTGTTTCAGCCTGTGCCTTATAAATTGCTTCAGCACAAAATAAGAAACTATATCTCCAACGTATAAATGGTTGGGAGTTCACGTTCTCATCATGTTTGTTAAAATCAAGTCCACTGCGAAGACATTCATAACATGCTCTACCGTAGTTTTTAGCGGATAACCCCAATTTAGGTTTAATAGTACATCCTAGCAGAGGACGACCATATTTGTTCAATTTATCTCTCTCAATTTGGATTCCATGAGGCAGACCTTGGAGTTTTAATCTAAGCAGTAGGGATTCGTATATCCTTCAGGCGTAGAGCACGCAGGGCTTTGAATCCAAATGCATTTCCTACAATGGAAGTAAACATGTCAGTAACAAAACATTCTTCAAAAAGGTGTAAAGGGTTAGCTATATAACAAATATATTGCTTTGTTTCGCCAAGAATGGGCTCGATGTTGTAGCATCGCCCTTTGTAACAATCAAGGCTGGTAAGTCCATTAGTCCACACGGTTGTCCATGTACCATTGGAAGATTCGGCAGCTACCGCTGCCCTTGTATCAGTATCTTTGGTTTCTTATTCAGGAGTATAATAAGTCAATTTGTACTCTTTAACACCCGCTTTGAAAAAACACTTGCTTTAGTCTCTGTTTGTGGTGACGTAAATCCCTCCGTACAACTCATGAATTAAGAATTCTGACAACAACAAGGTCTAGTCGACAAGAATGAAATAGGCGTTAATGAAACTATTCACGGGAATTTTTTGAAAATTTCCAACTAATACTAATATTATCAACTAATCAGATTGATTATTAGACCATGATATTTGATTTACCAAACACATCATTATTGTATACTCTTTCATGTGTATAGTGCGCAAACCCCCCCTCCCCATTTTTTTACCTTTTTTGAATCGAAATAACTAACCCAACTAATAAGAAATTCCCTATCGACAGCGGTATATGTTGTATATGTAAATCTTAGATATGAAAATAGCCGAAATTCATCCATGAAAGAGATAGGCTATAGGCATAAATTAATATGCTGAAATAAAAAAACGCCAATAAGATAGAAATAATGAATCCTAATGTAAATAGAGTTCGGGTTCAACTTCCATAGAATATATTTTTAAATCGAAATAGGATTGTCTATAATGATAGACAAATGAAAACCTTTATGAAGATCTCACGTTTCAAAATAGCTTGGTTGGACTTGCAACTTCACTCATTGAATAAGGAACCAATTAAAGTAGATTCGATTGAATCGCACCAATGAAATCGAGTGCTAACTCCCATTTTCTAATTGAATTAATTAACTGATCGGCGTGCTATTAGATGGTTCTTTTAAATTTGATAATTTTCAAAAACTTTGACACATATTTATTATTATGAGAATTAATCCTACTACTGGGGTTTCCGCGGTTGAAAAAAAAAAACCTGGGATGTATCGTCCAAATCATCGGTCCGGTGCTAGATGTAGCCTTTCCACGGGGCAAAATGCCTAATATTTATAACACTTTGGTAGTTAAAGGTCGGGAAACTGTTGGTCAACCAATTAATGTGACTTGTGAGGTACAACAATTATTAGGAAATAATCGAGTTAGAGCTGTAGCTATGAGTGCTATAGATGGTCTGATGAGAGGAATGGAAGTGATTGATACGGGAGCTCCTCTAAGTGTTCAGGTTAGTGGAGCGACTCTGGGATGCATTTTCAACGTGCTTGGAGAGCCTGTTAATAATTTGAGTCCTGTAGATACTCGTACAACATTTCCTATTCATCGATCTGCGTCTGCCTTTATTCAATTGGATACAAAATAGCTATTTTTGAAACAGGAATTAAGGTAGTAGATCTTTTAGCCCCTTATCGACGTGGGGAAAAAAATTTGACTATTTAGGGGAGCTGGGGTTGGGAAAACGGTACTCATTATGGAATTGATTAACAATATTGCAAAAGCCCGTGGGGGTGTATCCGTATTTGGGGGAGTGGGTGAGCGTACTCGTGAAGGAAATGATCTTTACATAGAAATGAAAGAATTTGGAGTTATTAATGAAGAAAATATTGCATAATCAAAAGTAGCCCTGGTTTACGGTCAGAAGAATGAACCGCCGGAAGCTCGTATGAGAGTTGGTTTGACTGCCCTAATGATGGTGGAATATTTCGGAGATGTTAATGAACAAGAAGTACTTCTATTTATCGACAATATCTTCCGTTTCGTCCAAGCACGATCCGAAGTATCGGCCTTATTAGGTAGAATGCCTTCTGCGGTCGGTTATCAACCCACCATGAGTACCGAAATGGGCTCTTTACAAGAAAGAATTACTTCTACCAAAGAAGGTTCAATCACTTCGATTCAAGCAGTTTATGTACCTGCAGACGATTTTACCGATCTTGCTTCTGCTACGACATTTGCAAATTTAGATGCTACTACCGTACTAACAAGAGGATTAGCTGCCAAAGGTATCTATCAGGCAGTAGATCCTTTAGATTCAATTTCAACCATGCTTCAACCTCGGATCGTTGGCGAGGAACATTATGAAACTGCGCAAAGAGTTAAACAAACCTTACAACATTATAAAGAGCTTCAAGACATTATAGCCATCCTGGGATTGGACGAATTATCCGAAGAGGATCGTTTAACCGTAGCAAGAGCGCGAAAAATTGAGCGTTTCTTATCACAACCCTTTTTTGTAGCCGAAGTATTTACCGGTTCTCCTGGGAAATATATTGGTTTAGCAGAAACCATTAGAGGGTTTCAATTGATCCTTTTTGGAGAATTAGATGGTCTTCCTGAACAGGCCTTTTATTTGGTAGGTAATATTGAT